TCTCTGATGTTGCTGCATATTGGTTATTTATTCTCCAGTTTAATATTGTTAAATCACTTTACAGGATTTTATTGTTTATATTTAACTCTTCACTATTATGTTCTTCTTAGACATTTTTCTGTGATCATTTTTTCTATAATCTGAAAGGTGCGGACAGAACGGGCTGCATCCATAGAACCAGAATTAGACGAGGATTTAATGTCTGAATAAACTAAATATCTTAGATCTAGTCTTAAAAGTCTTTGGTTTCACTGCATCAGCAGATTATTGCCCTGATCTGATGAATAATCTCAGAGAATCTGCTTCTGATCAGTGAATCACTGGTTACATAGATGTTGTCCTTCATCATCATCATCATCATCATCTTCATCATCATCATCATCATCATCATCATCATCACCATCATCATCATCATCATCATCACCATCATCATCATCATCATCATCACTGCTGCCTGGCCCCCCCTGCTTGCTCTAGGATCGCCCCTGATGGCTGTGACCGAAGCGGCTCAGTGACGTCACCGCCAGTTCTGTCCAATCAGCTGGAAGCTAGAGTCCCTTCAGCGCCAGGACTCAAACCGTTGTACCGTTGGTTCTGACATCTGGACCGCGGCGGAACCAGCTGCTGGGTCCCGCTCCCCGGAGGTTCGGTCCACTGGTGTCGGGTCGGTTCCGGTTGCTGAGGCGGGCCGATCGGTGGCGTCGGTTGGACTTTAACGGCTAACGGCAGGTGAAGGTCCGGCTAACTGCCGCTGCTTCGGACGGTTCGGTCCCAGAGGGTTGATTGTTTATGGGGATTAAAACCGAACCGAACCGGATGTGTGAGCGATCAGAAAAGCGGTTCGGTTGGATCAGTTTAATCTCTGCTCAGTTCTAACAGTTCTAACCTTCTGATCCAGCAGGACCAGGTCCAGTTGATCAGAACCAGATGAGCCCCCGGAACCACTGGACCAGGTCAGAACCGAACCTCCACCTTTTGCTGCTGGAGGACCATAGAGAAACCTCTGCTAGATAGGATCTGACTGGATGATCTGGATCTATAGAGTGACCTGAGAGGACTGCATGGAGCTATAGAAATACATAGAATAGAACAGAACTTTATTAATCATCACTTCATCACTTTATTGATCAATTTATTGATCAATTTTTCACTTTATTGATCACTTTATTGATCATATTATTGATCACTTTATCAATTATAGACCACTTTATAACTTTATCGATCA